ATCTGTTGACAATAATGAAAATTTGAATGAGAAAAAAACATATATATAAACTAAACTATTAAGTATGTAATTATTAATGATGAACGTGACTGTTTGTAAGAGAAAACTACCGGAAACAATAAAAAAAACTATGAAAATTCTTCTTTTACAAAATAATATCAATTTTGTTTTTTTGCTTATATTAAAGAAAATAATTTAATAATAAGATTCTTAGAAAATTTAATTGAGATTTGTTTATTATAAGAGATGTAATTAGACATAAAGTTATACAATAGTATACTATGTCTTAAAAATAGGTCATATAAGTTCTCTATTTTTTTTAAGAAATAAATATTTATGACGTCTATAAAATATTTAGAATTTCCTAATATCAATTAACCGCTTCTTTTCACTCAAAAAATGTCAACTTTCATTAGAAAAATGCGAAAACCTCGGATTTAAATTCGAGTGTTATGTGTACTTGAAAAATTGAACAGGTATATTCACTTTGTTTTTTATCATCTGAGACATATCTAGGCAATTTGCTTTCTGGATGCAGTTTTTGTGCATTTTGAGACCTTTTTCAGGCGATGTTTCGTTAGAAAGCTACAATTTGGTTTAAAACTAATATCAGATTCGGAATCAGTGTTAAAAACTGAGTCGATTTATATATGTTGTGAATAATTCTGAGAAAAAGTTTTTTTTTGAAAAAATCCCTGTACCCCCCCTCAGGGATGGACTGATCAATAATGACAATTTTTTCGATAACTCAGCCATTTCTTGACGGATCCTTCTCATCTTCTAACTCGACCGAGACATTGATGAGACTGAACTGTGTAGAAAATTTCATCACGATCTGACTCTCCTTTCGAAAGTTATCGTGTAAACGGTCGGCCGGACACACTGACCGATTCTATAGTGTACTCACTTTTTGAGTACACAAAAATCGGAATTAAGGTAATAACCTAGAGATCTAATCTTTTATAAACGATATGATTTCTTTTTTATGACTTCCGTCACTTGCTAGTTGAAGAAGATGTATTTTTCTTTTTTGTCAGAAACAAAACCGGAACTTCTTTTTCGAGAACTTTCAAAAGAGTTTTATTCTATTGTTTAAATGAATATGTGAAGTTATAATGCTTGGTTTTTAAATTAAACTTTTCTTATAATTATATATCGAAGTACTTCTATATATAAATAGATGATCATTTTTTTCAAGATATTAGAAGTAAATTTTGAATTACTCAGCTCTGATTGAGAAAAATTATTCAATATTATTATCAATGAATATATTAACCAAAGAAAAAAAAAGAAAGTATTATCTGACAGCATATATGTATATTATTATCTGTTAGGTAAATTATTGATATATTACAATAAAAACTATGATCTAACTATAGTTATTATGAATATTTTTTGAATGTATCATTTATTGTTTTATCAGTGTTGATCAATTTAATTTTATAAGTAATAAGTTCATCAATTTGTTCTAGAAGTTGTTGACGTTTTTCTTTATTTGAAGAATTCTACGAATGAAAAAGAATAATTTTTATAGAATTTGAAAGATATATATATATATATATTTATTTTACTATATTAGTTAATTCATGTAAAATTTGTTCAAATATTTCATTTTGTTTTAATTCATATTCATGTATAAATTTTAAACGTTCAAGAAATTTATCAATAGAAATTTCATAAAATTTTAAAAAATTTAATGATTCAATTTGTTCATTAATATAATGAATAAAATTTATTTGTTCATCTAAACATTGTTTATATTCATTGAAATAATGTTCAAATATTTTTTTATCAATTGATATTGATAATATTTCAAATAAACGATTATTTAAATAAGTAATACATTCAATATTAAATTTATCTATTATTGTATTCATCATATTGAAGATTTAACAAGAGATTCATATATATGAAAGATAGACGTATTGAAATTAAACAAAGATATTCAAATCATAACGAATAATGAAAAAGAAAAATCAAAGAGAGGTCGCTCATACGAGTTTATATTGAACTTTGGATATTTTGCATGGTGATAACCGAAAGATTGGTTTTTGATTTGAAACTCTTAGATGAATCTCGTCATTCATTTGAAAAATATTGTAAAAGTACAATATCTTCATAGCAATAAACTAAATACACAAACTCTTTTCAAGAGTATATATTGGACACAAGTCAGAATTGTAGTCGATTGCTTCAAAAACTCATGTTATTTTCTGCATGCAGGATTTTTTACAAATCTTCATAAAGAAATTTTTGAATATTGAAAACTTTTGAATATAAACTTTTATTTATTCATTAGTAATAGAAATGTTAATGTTTGTTTTGCTAAATATAAACAATATTTTATCTGTTCTTTACAAAATACTTTTTTTTTAATAATAATAATAATAATTATTTATTTGATTTTTTTTCTTTTAAGTTCATTTAATATTGTACTTGATAACATATGAAAAGATTCATTAAATGTATAAGCATTTTGTTCTTGACTAAAATCAATTTCATTTAATGAACCAAGTACAAGAACATATGAACAAGCAATACGTAATATTGAAAGACGACTTAATTTTGGTTGATCACTATACATTGGTATAACTTGACGTAATGATTCAAATGCTGCTGTTAAATTATGAACACGTTCACGTTCACGTGCATTTGCTTCTAAACGTTTATTATAAGTTAAACGTGGTCGTTTTGATGTTTGATTTTGATAATTAATAGAAGTATCTTCATCACTTATATCATCATCATCATCATTATTTTCTTGTTCATCAATATTATTAAGTTGTAATAAATTTAATGATGATTCATCATTTGTTAATTCTTCAATTTGAATATTTGATGTAGGTTTTATTAATTGTTTTATAAATGATGAATCAATTGTTGTTTGAATAGTTTTTGATGGATGTGCGGATTTTCGAGAACGTTTTATTGGATTTGATTGTAATATTGATGTTGTTATTGTATTTGTATTAATTACAACATGATTACTATCAATTTCAATTGGTTTAAGTTTAAACATTATTTAACCAAAAAAAAGAAAACAAAAACAAAAGAAATAATTATTTATTTAAAAAAAAAAATATATATATATACTTTTAGTTTGTTCAAAGTTCGATCGATGATATATCTTTCACAGCTTGTATTATAAATGCATACACATTTCTTTTTCCGTCATCTACAACATCCGTATGGGTAGCTGCTGTTACTGCCATTATTTATTCCATTCTTTCTCTCTCTCTCTCTCTCAAGCCACCTAGCATACATATATATATATATACAGCAGCCGTCATCATTGACTAGTTGATTCGCATGATGATTGCTTGCAACACATGTTCACTAAAGAAGAGAGACAGAGAGAAAACAGACAGACGGCATAAGTCTTATAACGGAATGTATTACACACATGTGCTGAAGAAAACGTTTTCCATTCGATACTCTCTGTTGTTTCCTCTTCTTTCTTCTTCGACCCTTCTCTTTTTTTTTTTTGCATCTATTCGTTTAGTTTCACGCTATTACTTGGCATCTATGTTGATAATCTAATAAAGCAAAAAATAAAAGGAAAAAGAGAATTGTCGGCAGCTCGCAGGTGCGAAGGTTAACAGTAACCAGATGGGTACTGCTTCTTTTATCAATAGAAAAAATTTTAATTACTACGAGATATTTCTATGAAGTATAATAAATGTAAAGCAAAAGCTTTTGTTTATATATTTTATTAGATTGCTTATCAAGTTGTAAAAATACTATAATGCATTGGTACTCTGCATTCAAAAGCTTGTTTTGTGAAGAAAAAGCCGATGCAAATAATCGATTGAAAAGTTCAATTTTATTTTTTTCGAACATTTTGTAAAAGTTTCTTTCAAATTATTATTACAATTCATTGAATTAAAAAAAAAAATCAAAACAATTATTCGATTCAATACTGAATCTAATCATAACAATTTATTGATTGTAAACAAAACGGCTAAGTGTTACAAGTTTTTCTTTTTACAAACAAAAAAAACAGAGTTATACAACAACTCAAAGAAAAAGAAAAATCATCATGATGTTTTAATGGAATTATTCAGTTTGTTTCTAAACACATCAATCAGAAAAATAAAATAGTTCAGTTTTGATAGAATACAGACATAGTTGTCAGTGACACGATTACTAATACTAAATATGGGTAGTGTTGATTATCCAAATATGGAACATTATGCTTATGAACAACCAGCCGAATTCAATCATTTTTTATGTATGAAGATCATTTTTGCTGATTGACATAAAACTCTTGACTTTTTTTTTTGCTAGTAAAACAAAATTGGACGTCTAGTATATTACGAGAAGAAGCAGCAATTCTTAATCAATTAGGTAACTAAAATCTTTTCTAATAGAATAAATATAAATATTAATTCATATGTGTATCTATGAATAAATTTTTTTAGTTACAGGCCATTCAACACCACCTAATTATATTACAAATACAGAAACTCAACGTGAATATCAAAATCCTACTGTTAAAAGTATAGAACATTTGAAACATATTGAAGAAAATCGACATGGTCGTCATGCTTATACACCTGATAAAAATCCACCAAATGGAATATGTAAAAACTAATTATTATTTAACTTTACAAAAAATGTTTTCTTTTTTTTTTCTATATAAATTCATTTGTTTAGTGCCTACATTCAACGCCAAAGCGTATCCTGAAGTCATTCCACGTTTTCATTTACCTAAAATGCCATATTAAATTTATTTTATTTTTTTCTTTCATATCTTTTTAATAATCAAAAAAAAAAAAAAAGAAAAAAATAAATAAACAAAACTTATGAAATAAATTATGTATTAAACTGAAGAGTATTTTATTAGAATACCTAAATTGGACGAAAAAAAAAAACATTAAATTGTTGAAAAATTACCATTTAAACTAGTTGGCCATTAGGTAATTTTATTTTTTTCAAATATGTTAATTTATTCATGTTGAAGATAAAACAATGCCTGGTTGACAATTAATTGCTGTTCCTTAATTTTGAATTATATTTGGTTGTTGAATTGCAACATTTTGAATTGCATAACCCTTAAATTAATATGAAATAATGAATTTTAATTTTTTACTATTTTTATAATTAATAAACATACAACAGGTACTTGTTCAGTATAAACTTGTGCAGGTGGATAAATTTCTTGAACATATTCTTTAACTTGAAGTGGAGGTTGTTGTGCAACAACTGCCGGTGCTTGTATTGGAATAATAATAGGTGCTAAAGGAGTTTGAGAACAACAATATGATCGACATCGATATCGTCGTCGTCGACAACGTCGTATATATACAGGTTCTTCAATAATATATTCTACTTGACGATATGATGGACATTTACGACATTCCTAGATTCAAAAAATTTTTGAAATATTCTATCCATTTCATTAGTTAAGTTGTATGATTATTTGAATATAAAACTCATTAATAACATACTGTATATGTTTGACATTGATGCACTTGGCATCCATCCATAGCCGGTACTACTGGAACAGGAACAGGTACTGCACATGGACGTTCTACTGGTACCGGTACTGGTTGTAGAAAAGGTATAGCACATGGACGCTCTATTGCTACGGGCATTGGTACTGGCACAGCTGTTGGAACCATTGCAGGCTGAGCTGCACAAGGAACCATCATACTACCAGGCTGTACAAAGTTTTGAAGACAAGGTTGTGCTAGTGAAAAAGGATTAGCAGAAGCCTGTCCCATGGACATATTACATGGAGACATCATCGATTGAGAACATAATGGTAATGAAAATGAAGGAAATCCACAACCGAGCATATTGGCTTTATGTATGTTAACTAATGAAATCAATGAAGAAAGTAATACTAATGTATAAAAAGAAGAAAATAAGACCTTCGTCAATCAACCTTCATTTTGAAATAAATGTATCAAAACAAAAAAGCATGAATATAAATTATTCTCTTATGTTTACATGTTATCACATCTAGTTTAAGAATAATAAAATTGACAAATTACGAAAGAAAAAAAAAATTCTTCTTGTATATTAATTACATTCATATGAACATTTTAGAACAAACGAAAAAAAAAATAATAATAATAATTCAATATATAGAACAATGAAAGAAAAAATTCTCTTAATTTTATTTCATTAATTTACAATTTTTTATACTTATATACAAAATAAAGATCAAGTACTAAATAATTGATACTTGTCAAATAAAATTAGTAAATAATCGATTAAGTACATACTATTATTCTTAAAAAGATTTCTTTTTCTTTTTTTCTCTTCTAAAATACATGTAATTATGTTTCTTTTTCTATTTGTACGAATATCTTACCATCGATCAACAAACATGATTTCATCATGTATTAATTATTTATCGCCATCTTAAAAAGAGACCTTCAAACAAAGGTTACAGTCAGTTATAATGCACTGAAGGTTTTTCTCTCACGTTTTCAAGTTCATATATGCCTACATATATATATATTCATATTATTTTTCACATTCATGCATGACGATAATGATAAACAAAAAAAGAAAAAGACATAGATACACGAAGTTTTTTTTTATTTACATATGAAAAAAAAAAGAGTTTTCCATTAGGAGTACATCTAAAAAAAAAGACAAAATCAAATTTCCATATTGTTTGTTATGGATATTAATTATTATCTATAACATTTTGATATTTTATCACGTTGAATATTATAAACATAATAAATTAAATGTTTATTATCCCATGCAAATATTTTACTTTCATATGGATTATAAGTAAATTGTACTAAATATTGATATGGTATAGTAAAATAAATTCTTTTTGTTGTAAATGCTATATTTGAATAAATATCATAAACAATATCAATATAAGATTGTTGTTTATTATAATATTGTACACCATAAAATATTCCATATGCAATAAAAGCTTGACTTAAACTTGATGGATTATATGGTAATATCCATATTTTTTGACTTTCTAATGTTTCAGGATTAATTTTTGTTGCAATAAAATTTTTTGTATATATTTCACGATATAATAACCATAAACCATTTTCATCTATTGAAAAATCAAACCAACTTGATTGTGGTGTATTATAAAGTGGTTCACGATTAACAGGATATTCAATACTTTGTATTTCAATTTCTGATATAAGATCAATACGTACAATAATATTTTTATTTTTAATATTATATATAAAATTTCCTTGATAAACAATATGATTAACACCTGAATATGGATATGGTAATGTTATTATACGATTTGGTTTATTATTAATTAAATCATCTTCATTATTATATTCATATAATAATGTACCAGTAACATGATGTGTAACATAAATTTTTTGTGCACCATTTGCAGTTTTAGGCATTGGATCTTTAAACCAAGCACCAAATGTATAATTTTCTTGTTTAACAAGAACAGGTGTACCAATAAATGAAAAGATACATCCTAAATAAGATAAATTTTTTCTTTTTTTTTGTACAAAAAAAATGAATTATTAATTATTTACGTTGTGCACGACGAAAATGACCTATTTAATTTTTAATAAAAATCGTGAAAAAAAAAACAAAACAAAACATAAGAACATTTGACTTTATATTACTTACCACCATCACGTCTAGATGAATCTAAAATTTGAAGAAAAAAAAAAAAATTTATATTAATAAAAGATAATTAATGAACTAAATAGAAACTTTGTTTTTGATCTAATGTTGATGATATTGATATTGAAGTTGATGATTGTGATGGACATGTACAAACTCCCTAATGATTTAAAGATTGATATCAAATATAATTATTTTAATGTATTAGACATACAGGTGGACCTGGTGGACCCATTTCACCACGTTGACCTGGATAACCAGGAGGTCCTATTGGACCTAGAGGACCTTTTTTTTAAAAAACAATTAATGAATGTAAATCTTTATTGTTTAAGTTAATTTTCTACCTTGTGGACCTCGTATTGATGTACCAGGATCGCCTTTAGGTCCTTGAGGACCAGCTGGTCCTGGAAGACCCATTTCACCTGATGGTCCTTTGATATATAAATAGATAATGAAATATATGTATACATATTATAAAATTGATGTTACCTTGTGGTCCCATAGGACCCTGAATACCAGGTATTCCTGGATAACCACGTTCACCTCGATCACCTTTTGGACCTCTTAACTCTAAATATATATATATACAATCATTTTAAAAAAATTTTTCATATTTTGTGTCATTTTCAAAACAGAGATATGAAATACTATTTCTTTTTTTGTCTACCAATAAATGATCCTTCATCTATACTAAATTCTCTATGAATATCATTGAATTTAATCAAAATTTCAAGGAAGAAAATAATCATCAATTCTTTCTCTTTTTCTAAAATTAACCTATAAATATACCATTTAAAAAGTTTATCAAAGTTTATAGAAAATCAGAAAGTTTAATAAATTTTCACTGTTCTCATTCTCGAATTGTACATATGAAATAATTTTTATGTTAGAAAAACGATTTGTAAAATAGAAGAATCTAACTCTAGATGAATTAAAAACTCAGATATTTTCATCAACAAAAAAAAACATATTTAAAATTCGAGTTGATAACAACTAACACATTAATTATATCAACTTTAATTAAATTCATAGAATATTTTTCTAGAAATTTAAATTTTTTTTGTTGCTTGTACACATTACTAACAAATAGAATATTTTATTTAATTTACCTTCATTTTCTGTAATTAATTTTTTGCAATGATCTACTGATTGAACACAAAATGTTGCCATTGCTATTGGCTATGATTAAATAATACAAATGACATATCTTTTTTTTAATATATTTCAATTTTTTTTTTTGCATTCTTACCGGCATTTTAAAATGAATTGAACCAGAAAATAAATCTGATTCATCTTTATTTAATAGATGTGATTTAATACGTGTATGTCTTGATTGTCGTTGTAATGGATCAAGTCCATTTACAGATGTTGATATTGTTATTTGTGCTGATTCTAATTCATTTAAATCTTGTTTAATAATTTTTAATTCATTATTATGAATTTGAATTGTACGAGATAAATAAATAAAACATATTCCAAATAATAATACTAATATAATAATAAGTAAATATAAAAGAATAATATGAAAACGTAATGATTTATTATTATAAATCATACGTTTAGATTTTGATGTTTTCATTTAAATTAAAATCTAAAAATTAAAAATACAAAATAATTTTATCATTATAATATATTTTTTTGTTTTGGATATATTATAATAAATTTAATTAAATAACTTCAGAAAAAAAAACTAAAAATTTAAATGAACATTGACATTTTCTTACTTAATATCCTTATAGACTGTATACATTGTTTCAATCTCATCAATGAACATCTATACTAGATACTTTTTTTTTTTTCATCATAGATTGATAAGAAAAAAAAATGCATCAACCATATTATAATACAAAAAGAAACAATTATTACATTAATGATAAAATAACAAAAGACAATAGAAAGTATATATCATAAAAAAAAAAAGACGTGGTTTAATATGACATTTATACTTGCACCTAATAATATGGTCAATTGTTTTAGAATATAAAATAAATTAAATCATCAATCACATTCTCATTTTTTTTTGTAAGGTTTAGTTTCATTTTCAGGTTTTTTCTTTGCTTTTTGTTTAAATATGTCAAGAATCATGAATAAATATGATCTTCAAATTACATTATTATTGGCTTTTCATTTTTTGAGTCATCAATAAATGTTAGTTAATAATGAAATCCATAATTGCTTTTCGCCTTTCTCTTTTTTTTTTGTTCTTTATGCATATCAACCATAGATACTAAATGTATCCTTGTCATCTCATTGTTAACAATTGTCGTAGATATAGATACAAGTGATTATGAAGCGTATCATATGATTACTATTGAAATCAACAAATTAAGAAAGTGACCATGATCATTTACTAATATTGTTAGTATATATGTATATCCTGTGAAAAGAAACGAAACAATGAACGAGTCTGTCAATTTGGATAGACATCACTATTTTACAATCACAACAGATCATATAAACATGTATAAAACAATAATAAAGTTAATCAATCTTGATTTTTGTATTAGTATCAATACTGATTTAGAAAAGTAATCATCAAATCTTATTGTTAAGTATTTTAATACTATGAAAAGGATTCTAATGATTTCTTTTTTTGAATGTTTGCATTATTGAATGTTGGTTTTTTTTATTATATATCAATAAATATCTATTAGATATATGAAATCGAATTAAAAAAAAAGTCAATTGTGGACATCTAGAGAAGTCTACGAAATTAAAATATCTATTTCTATTCTGTATATTTCAACATTCCTTTTTGAATCGTATTTTACAAAAAATAACACAAGAAACAATTGTATTACATTTGTACTTGATTGTTAAGATTTACAACGAAATTTGTGAAGAAACTAAAAAAATAATTTGATTTGTTTTCCATTATATATGCATAACATATTCGTTAGTTACAAATGCTAATAAGTTTTTGGCTTCTAACTCTTTACTTTCTATTCATTAATTGCTAATTATTGAGATTTAACCATTTTTTAACATTTATATTGTTACTTTTGTTAGAAAGGTTTCTTCTTTGTTTCTGTCTCTTGTGAATGGTTATTTCTTACTAGAGCAAATATTTTTGAGCATTTGCAAGTCTTTGTCATAGAAAGGTAGAACATGATTTTGTTGTCTGTAGAGATTATAACATTTTGTACAAAAGAAATTTTTGAAGAGTTATGAGAAACCTTTTAATCTATTTTTGTTGCTTTGTTTTTTTTTTTTGTGT